TAAAACAATCACTTTGTACTTATACAAGGAGAATGCATGCCTATTAATAGATCTATATGGAGACTAAATAAATGACCCAAATATTAACTCTTATACACGAAAAATTAAGTAAATAGCATATGTTTCAGCAAAATACAAAAAAAAAAAAATTTCCAAGTTATTAGGGTAAGAGGTTTATATTACTGCATAAATTTATAAAATATGTAATATAAAAGGGCTATAGTAAACATGCTTTGTGCAATTCAAGCTTGGCAAAGAGTACATAAGCAAATAAAAAAGTTAATTCACAGTATACATGTAAAAAACCTCATTATGAGCTATTTAATGAAAAGAAATTCATACACTTTATATATTTCCACAATGTTAATACTAGTATATTCCCTTAGAGAAGCTTATGCTTTCTCTGAAGCAATCAAAACTGGTAGATGGATCACTCTTAGTTAGCAACACAACTGTCTGATTTTTTAAATAAAAACTGTAAATTGTATTTTTCCATGGGACATACTCATGTGCTCCCTCTCTCAAATTATTAGAACACTGTCCTAAAAATCTGTATCAAATCAAATAAAAATCTTCATAAAGTATACAACTCATATACATAGTATAAATGATGTACCTATGTGTATATAAGACACACATACACATATACATACATATACACAGATGTTCCTATATACACATGATGAAACAGCAGAACCCCAGATGTTCTGGGAAATCTGGGATATACTAATCAAACTGCAAATAAATAACACAAAATAATTTGATTATTTTAAAAAATCATATTGGTTTTAACTTGTTCTGTAGTAAACAATTCAATAATTAAAAGCTGTAACCCATTATACTAATAGAACACCCAATAACAAAAGGAGGAAAAGGCTTGCATACTGTCAACAGTTCTCTATTTTTTTCTGAAAAAATCATGTAAATTATTTGGCGATCAGCACAAGAATATTTCCTTTTGAACTACCTCTTTCCTTACCTAGAAAATCTCCAGTTCTCTCCCAAAGGAAAGATTAAAATAAAAATTCTTTTAGAATAAACGATGTCATACCAATAAAGATTAAAATAACTAGAACTATTGAGCATGGAAAATATCTGAGGAGAATGCTACACATAGTTCTCATGTAATGTGTATAAACACACACAAACACACAAGCTAAACGTCAAAAAAGATATATAACAGATGACCTTGCAAGTTCGTGGAAAAAGAAGAAAAGAATGAAAAAATGTCTGTATTTTCAAATGTATTTTGAAGCCAGGAAAAAAAATCAAACCTTTCAAGGAGTCGCACTTGAGCACATGCAATATCAAAAACAGGCCATCTTCCCTTTTGAACTATTTCTTAGTCTGCACATTTGACATCTTAGACAAGTTTTCAGCTGCCTTTAGACTTCTTTGAAACTAGGCTCTAGTTTAATACAAAATAGGATGTCAGTTGATCAATATCCATTTGGCTTAAATTCATAAGTCCACAACCTCCCTTAAGTGGTAGAACAAACAGGTACAAAGCCTGAAAATTTATTGTTTCTTTTTAAACTCTGAATGATATTTGCAGATGCCAAAAGGCATTTTGAAATCACTCACCTCTACTTCAGTAAAAATGAAACAGGGGGATGGGGAGGAGGGAGAATCTCATGAGGCCTTGTATGTCAAGTTTTTGCCCAGAGCTAATTTTCAGAGCTGTGTTATAAAACCCTGAAAATGGAGGTTTATAATGGAAATGCTGACAGACCCTTAACTATAGCAGCATGAATGGATATAATTAAAGAAAAGCTTTTGGCTAAAGACTGCCATTTTTATATTAACCTCAAATAACAGCCAAGTGAGAACTAGAAATGTGATTCCAGAAAGGAAATGTGAAATGTTAAAGATGACTGCTAAAACTATTTGACATTCGGAGTTTTAAACATGGAGGCATTTAGTTAACATAACCAAGTCAGTATTTTCATAATGCTACTTAATCAGCAATAAAGAATGCTCTGGTGAGCCATCAGCTCCAGTTAGCTGAAAGTGGCATATGAAGTTATTATTTCTTAACAGCCTAGAGGGAGCCGCTTCTCTCTTTAATCAGTGATCTTAGTTCCTTCCTACCTATAATTTCACTGTCATACAGTTATAAAACTATTACCCAGTTCAACACACACACACACACACACACACACACACACACACGCACATATCCTGCACACACATTTATGCAAGGACTGGTAGCTTACTCCCACCTGAATTACAAAACAGAAGAGATTGCTAAAGTAAAGTATTTCATTCTTCCCTTTGTCGGGGATGCAGTCAGGAATAAATATCATCAATCTATGTAACCCACCTTTCTCTATCTAAATCAAAATTCAAAGAATTTAGCTTTGTTCTTAACTTAAAAGAAAAAGAAAAGCTTGTGCTTTAATTTTTAACAACTATTCAAATTATTTTTGAACTTCCTAATAATATTAATAGTAAAACTATTACAGCATACCCAAAAGAGTCCTCTGGAAAGAACTTCAATGAAGTTCCAAATCTGGAGCTAAGAGATCAGGAACACATCTCCAAAAGATCAAATACCTAGAGGACTTTTCTTGTGTTTCCCCTCCCTCCCTCCCCGCCTTTTTTTTTTAAGGCAAACAATCCTGAATGATCTCTGGGGCCCTTTCCCTGAAAATATCCCACACTAAAGCAAGTCTGTCTTGACAATATTTGCTTGGAAGTATTGAAAATTGAAGGAATAAATTAAAACCATGCAAGTCACAGTCCCTCTTATTATGTACTGCACTCAGTCTCATTGAAGGACTGTTGCAAATTACTATGCAAGCTTTAGAAACGTAAAAGATGGCAGTGCCTGTACCATGACAGCATTAATAATGACCTGCACATTACTATACCATTCTTATTCACACAGACCTCATACTTCTGTTAAAACTTGCTTGATAATTTTGGTGACAGAAAGTTACACATGATTTCACATTCTCTTAGAGCAATTGCTTTTGATCACAGTTGAAGAGTATAAAGCAAAACCAAACATAAACATTTCTACAAGGAATTAAATATTATCAGCATAAACATTTGTGTCCTTTTTTTAATCGGTTAGTCCTGTAGTGCACCTACTCCTTGCCCCCTGTTCAAGATGACGCCAAATTAACACACTCAAACCAGATCCAGTCTTGAAGAAATTCCTAATATAAATGTAAAGTTACTATCCTTTACTCTACTTGACAGTCTTCATTATGCCCTCTTGATTCCTACCTCTGTACTTCTGAATAGTGACCCTCACGGATTCAACAAAAATGCCCTATAGTGAACAGCTTACAAGGTACTTGAAAGCAATATTTTCCCAACACTCCTGGAACTGCTTTGGCTTTAATGCTAAATACGTCTATTCCTTTGCCCAGGCTGGTTTAGACCAGTTCCCTCTTTTTCTTTCTTTCTTTGTATATTCAGACGAATATAAATAAAAAAAACAAAAATGGCACCAGAAATGTGGAAATCTCTAACTGTGCCCAAAAAGCACAGGGAAATATTGCTTACCACTTATTTAAAAACTGAACAAACAAAATGAATTTGGCACTTGGAAAAGCATAGCATCTGCTAATAGACTCTACTAGACTAAGAACAAACAAACGTATTTCATGGAGAAGATCCAGAACCAGTAAAAGCTGCCTTTAATGAAGCTGGCTTTTCATATACTTATCTATCTATCTGTCCATCTAAATATTTGATTCAGCTTATATCTAGGGATCTAGATCCCTAGAGATGTAGGGATGATTATCTGATCAAGAACTAGAGTACATGAATATAAAAACTACAGAAAACCTAATGAGTGAAAACCCGTGAATTGATTTCTATGAACACACAGACCAATGTAAATTAAGAAAATCATTAATAAATGAAATTGGTAATAAATAAATACCCCAAATTCAGAAATTTCGTTGTTTAATATCTTTGAAAAAGATGCTACTTTTGTAATGTACAACTAAGAAAAGGGAAGCAGTTTCTTCATTAGGTTCAGACATGATTTTAAATAAAATTGCATTTCTATACCTAACTGCAGTGAGTGTAGTGTCTAAGTTAAGAACATGAACTTCAAAGGTGAAACTGCTATGTGAAAAGAGCCTTACAGGCAATAAACAGCATGACCACTGCTCTTACCCATTACTGTTTGGGTCTGAGTGCATCTGCACATTTGTATAATTCACGTAGATCTGAGAACACTTACGTTTTGCATGAATGACTGATGAACATCATCTGCACAAAGCTTGCTGTAGAGCGATCCTATCTCACTCTTGGAACAGACTGCTTTAGCTGGCAGTATTTCATGTGTTTGGGGCTGCCCTGCTGGCTCAGTCGGTAGAGAATCCACCTGCAATGCAGGAGACCTCGGTTCGATCCCTGGGTGGGGAAGATCCCTCAGAGGAGGGCATGGCAACCCACTCCTGCATTCTTGCCTGGACAATCCCCTTGGACAAAGGAGCCTGCTGGGCTCTATAATCCACAGGGTCACAAACAGCAGGACACGACTGAGTGATTAAGCACAGCTCATTTCATGTGTTTGAGGCTACAACTCTGCAGCAAACTATTTAAAGAAAATAACTTTTTCTTTAATGGTACAATGTGGCCAAAATCTCCTTAAGTACACCAAACTGTGTATGTTTCAATGACAGTCACCTCAGATTTGAGTTCATGGTCTTGCTTAGAATGTCTGAACTATCCCTCTGGATAATAATGTTTTTAGGAGAGATAGAGAGGCAAGACAGGGTCAAGAGGCATGGCTCCTGGATTGCACCAGAGCTGAGTTTTGTAAGCTTGCATGTAAGCTTTCTTTCAAAGAAGAACTGTTTGAAAGGACAGTTTGAAAACTACTGATTTATACTGCACTGCAGTAAAAATTACTTTAACCGCTCTCTTTACAACAGAATTTCATGAATATGTCAAAAGGAAAACTTTAACATAGAATCAACACAAGTAATGATATAAAACAAATTAATACATTACCACATTACTGGAAAACATACCTGATTCTTGCCAGAACAGCTTGTAGAAAGTTCAATACTGTCCTAAGTTCAGATTCTTGACAAGCTCGTAGAAGCATACTAAAACCATCATTAAGCAGTTTTTCATGAGAAGGATGCAAGCAATGGCTTGTCTCAAACACCTCCTGAACACTGTCCATATATATGGAAAGAAGTGTCCAAAGAGTCTGTCTTTGTCCCAGTTCATCATTCTTAGATACCAAGAACTCCTTTGCTTTCTCCCGGAAAGCATTTGAAAATTTCTCAGCCAAAACACCAATGTCCAGATTTTTCTGGGTATACATCAAGAGGAAGGCCATCTGACCGTTCCAAATGAGAGGAGAGGTTTTAAAAGTAGGCTTGAGGAAATCTAGGAGGCCTAAAACATGACTTGCTACATCTTCCACCTCTGCGACAGCTGCTAACAGTAGGAAAAGACTGAAAAAGTTCTGTAGACCAACTTCAGTTAGTTCTTCCATTCTTTTTTGATGGAATTTAGAATATATCCTGTAAAATGAAAACAAATGAATTCTTAACACTGTTTCATTCACAAAAATCCATCTTTTAAAATAACATTTAACTCAATACTTATGACAGTCTCATCACTTTAAATTTTTAGCTATTTCTACATAATGGGGGCTACTGTATCACTTTTGTTACTTAGAAAACAAAACTCACAGATTATGCCTCCCCTCTCAACCTTCAAATTTCTCAAGGATGCAGCAAGCATCTATAAGTGAATCAAGATTCAGTGGCTTTCCCCAAAGGACAGAAGAAATATTATTTTCTATATAGTACTTGGCTTTTCCTTTTATTTTAATCTCCCCGTTACCTTTCTTTTCCAATGTTTATTGACAAATAAGAATATGTAATTCTTTTAAGTACAATTTGATGTACTTTACAGAACTCTTAACAGGGCAATTTTATATAACAATGTTCCTTAAATGCTTTCTCTCTCTAGCCTTCACAAAGACCTGGCTTTATATTTATACATTAAGACAATGCAAAATACTGGAAAAATTATTTTTACCCACTAACAAAAATTATTAGTGCTCAAATATCCAAGACTAGCCATTTAAAAATCTGTTGTCGACACTATTTAATATAATTTAAGAGTTGATATACTTTAATTAATTAAGGGATCAGAATTGAACACCATTCATTTTTAATCTTACTTAGAGACTGTTAAGTTTCTCTGCAACTTTTATAATTGGTTTATTCAAAACAGAAATGACTAATGCTTATGAGAGGTTAAATGTTTATTTATAAATAATGAAGCTGATAAGCTCCTGAAGATAAAGATCTAATTATCTTCATATCCTCCCCATCACACCCATGATAGGCTTGGTATACAGTCTTGTTATGAATTCCAATTTCTTGAAGCAATAAAGTTCAGAGTATTATGCCTTGAATAAAAATATTTAAGATTCCAAACCAAACTGGCAAACAGAACAAAAGAAAAGTTAACTACTGTTTGAGCTACCTAATTACTGGAGGTTTAACAAAGATACCATTAAAAAAAAAGTATATTCTAAATAAAAAATCCAAACTGTATCACCATAATGTTGCAAGAATTATTCATTGTGTGACTCAAACAGGAATTTCATTTAGAGATTATTGAGAAGTATCTACCAGAAATCATAAGTATTCTGCTGCAAGAACTTCCATTGCTTAAGCTAAGCAAGCGGTGGAGAACAGTCAACTGCACCAGGGCTAGAAAAGGGGCTCATGGGCAAAAGCAGAACAAGGGAAGACAGTAAGAATCACACCCATTTAACAAGCAAAACTCTCAAAAAAGGAGAACACTAGACAAATGTGACCAAACGTTTATTTCACCACACCAGATATGAAAATGGCATACTCCTCAAATGAGAACATCAGAGGTTTTGGTTCTATTATATTCTGGTTAGTTTTCATTCAAGAAAGCTGAGCTTGTGAGACTGGTAGACTCAAAGAACACAAAATTTTATAGACAATCTATTATTTGCCAATGCATAATCTGGACATGATTTTTATTTCTGTAAGTTTTAATAAAATATGTGCAAGGAATTACATGAAACATTACAATTAACTTTGGCAAGAAAAACAACAGTTCTCTTTTATACCTGCACTTAATATATGGGATTTCATTCTTCAGGACTGATGAGATAAATAAGAAACTAAAATCTTCCCCAAGTTAGGGGTATTAGGTAGGTTTCTTACTGTAACAAATTGGCAAGATCAAAATGCTCCATATTTTGCTGTCCTTTAACAAATACATTTAAGATGTAAACCATAAAGACATTCAAGTACAAATTAACTTAAGAAACACAAATAGTAAAACTTCTCCAAAGATGTAAATGAACATTCATGACAAAGAAAGATACGGCACACACCTTCCCTTGACTTGTTTCCAAGGATGAGGACCATTGTTTTTCATTGCTTTCTTGACAACTTTTGCCAAAATGCAAAGGAAAATAGTGTAACTACTGCTGGATTTATACAGGTCATGATCTTGTTTATCACAGCAGCACGTCTTCACCATTTCTAGCATAAACAAGGGTGACTTAATGATATATGTAAGGCCTTTTAAAGGAAGCCAAGAAATACTGAAAGAACTATTCTAAAAGGAAAAAACAGAAAACAAGTATTAAATCTCTGAATAAATAACAACAGAAAGCTGTAAATCCCAACTAGCTCATTAAAATTCTGACTCTTCTTAATCATAAAAAGTACAGTCATTACCACATATTCCCCCTAAAATAAAAATTCCATTCAAGCACAAAATACCAAGGGGTGTTTCAAATTCCTGAATTATCCCCAAAATGTCTTTTTAAGAGTTAGTCTGTTCAAATTAGGATAGTGTCAAGATTCATACATTGCACTTGGTTGACATGCTTCTTAAATCTTTTATCCTATAAAAATTTCTAATGGTTTCATCATACCATTTAACAGGTAATTTATTGTGCAGCATTTCCTAAATGCTGATTTTAGGGGCTTATATCTTCCTACATTTCAAGATCTTCCTTACATCTTCCTGGAGTCACTTAATGTAATGTATTCTTTCATCTGCTATCTTTTCTGTAAACTGGTTGCTCTATCTAGTGGACTGATCAGATTCAGGTCAAGTTTTTTGGTGAGAATCTTCCCATGGCAGTCCTGAGTACTTCCTATTTCAATTAGCAAAGAGGCACGTAAGTTCTGACTTTCATTCTTTTTGTGATGTTAAGACTAATCATGCTGATCGATCCGTTTGAGTGATCCCCACCGTTTGAACAGCCAGGGATGATCATCATCCAGACGGCTTATTTCAATAGATGTGCAAGATAGTGATTTTCTATCACTCCTTCTAAACTAGCTCGAAATTTGGTATTTTAAAATACAGTTTATATTTTCCTTTATTTACAGTTTCCAGAATAACAACTTTTCTAAAAATACCACAAACTCGAGGATTTAAACACATAATCCACAGCTGTCGTTATTCTTTATCATGCCCAAATTTACCCAGCACTGGTGAATGGGAGTTCCTTAAAGCAGGCTCCTGTGTTCTTTTGACACAACTCCAGCTTACTTGGATACCTTCTCTGTTTTCAGGTATAACAAGATATTACAGAGCCATCTTGTATACATTCTGCCTGAAAATTAGAATTCATCATTTCTCCAGCCAGACTGACAATGTTTCAGAGAAAGGTATTTTTCTCATTTTTAATAAGTTCAATTATGTACAGGCCCAAACTTATAATTTACTTGTAAGTTCTCCATATCTTTCTCTATCTTGATTGAAGGTTTCACTATATACTTACTCAGAAAATCAAACATTCCAAATCTTCTCTCCATACACAAGTAACAATCCTTTAAATGTACTTTTAAAATTTTCTCTTCCAAACTTACCCTCTCTTTTTAAATTCACAGTCCCTATTTTAGTTTTCATTTGCTGCATTATTTCCTTATACTACCATACTGGAGTACTATCTCATCTGTATCCACTTCCTTTATACTACTTTCAGAAAAAACTTTCTCAAACACATATATACTGTGTCACATCTTTGCTTTCCAATGTCTCCTGGATAAATCATAACTCAACTGAATGTTATCTTTAACCCTTCAAAATCCAGCCCTGGACAAACTCTTCTACTTTCTTCATCTCCTGTATTTCTCCCGTCACCTCAGACCCATCATTTAGAACTATTCAACATAGTAGGCATAAATCATGTTTTTTCATGTCTCTATACACTTGTCCAGACTATTCCTTTTGCTTGGATGTTCATTTTCTTCTGTACTTGGAAAATTCTACTTATTCCCCAGGCCAATTTAAAAAATTATGAGTTCATCAAGTCTTCTACAAGCCCAAACACTGGGTCAGATACTCCCTTCTTCTAGCATTCCAGAGTATTGTAACTCTTTTCTTTTTTTTCTACAATATGTGTGCTTCTGCCTAGTAGCCTAGAAGCTACTCAAATGCCAAGACTAGTTCTTATTCAAGATAGCATTAACTGTTCAATGTGTTGCAAGCAATCAGCAGTTGTTAGAAAACATTTATAAACGAGGATTTAAAAAAATATCTTTCTGAAATCTGGTTTCTTTGCTTAATCTCACCCTTAAGAGAAAAGGGAAATCAGATGCTCTGTTCCCCTATGTCAATGCTCTTTAGACAAAGTGAAACATAAAGATATTTTTTAGTTATTCTAATCTACTTTGAAAAATTAATTTTAAGAAATCTCTGTAATTATATATAATTAAACCATAAAAACATTCCTCAAATACCATGTTCAAATTCTTCAAATTCCTGGAACAAATTCATACTCTATTTACTCACCAGGTTCTTACTGTAATATTCCCACAGAATGGTGACAATTGCAATGTTCGGCTCCCAGAAATCACAAAGGGTCAAACAACAGTGAAGATGCATTCGTAACTGCTCTTCTAGTATACCATCCTAAAAAACAGAAATTGTGAGGAACAAAATGACCAACACACATTATTATAACTTGACACTGCAGCAAATAACCTGCTCCTGAAAAGAATATAAATGTACATCACCAAGTCACACCCATTCTCATCTTCAGACCAGAAGGTCTGAATCAGCATAAGGTATATAACTTTGCTTTAGAGAAGGTTAATATGATAATTGAAATTATGTAACTCAGTTTGACTTTTAACTCAATTATTTAACAACTGCAATAGGTATTTAATAACTAAATAGTGTAGAACCCAGAGACTGAAAAGAAACCCTAACCAGAAAGAAGCATAAGTAATCTAAAAATACAGACGACTCAATCATACTTAAGCAATTCTTTATAGAAATGTAGGAGTTATTCTTCTCAAAACCAGAGCATTGGCAGAGTACATATGCTTTAACCTTTTAGAATGTGGCAATAGGTAAGAGTAAAAAAGTGACACTTTAAACTTATATATCGAATAACATGCATGTTTGTTAAAAGCTGACATAACACGGAATTCCAATCAGTTATTCAAAACTTACTATATACCAGGCACTATTCTAAGGTTCTAGGCAAAATGCAATAAATGAGTCAGACCTGGTACACACACTGATAGAAGCTACACTTTGGGGAGAATGGAAAAAGAGGACACAAACAAGATAAATGTAAACAGTTACAACCACTGCAAAAGGCAAAACAAAAGCAGAGTAATGTGGTAGAGTAACTGACAAAGCATGTGGGCCATTGTTTTAAATCAGGAACTACGAACTGAAAGGCCTTTTTGAGGGCTAGCAGTAGTAGTGTTAGTTGCTCAATTGCGTCTGACTCTCTGCGACCCCATGGCATGTAGCCTGCCAGGCTCCTCTGTCTGTGGGATACTCCAGGCAGGAATACTGAAGTGGATTGCCGTCTTACTCTTCCAGGGGATCGTCCACACCCAGGGATGGAACTCTGGTCTCTCGAATTGCACACAGATTCTTTATTATCTGAGCTTTTGAGGGCTGGAATTTGGGTTAAATGATTGGATGGAAAAGAGCCAACCACATACAGAAATGAAAGTAAAGCACTGATGGCAGAGAAAATGCACGGAAAGTTCCTGAATTCGCAGTAAGCTTGGTATTACCGGATTAAGTCAGAGATGGTCAGGAACCGTATCTCACTTAAGGCTTTACAGGTCACACTCAGAAGTATGGACTGTGTTTCAATTATGTTGGGAAGCCTTTACAGGACTGTAAACACAGGGATGGCATGAAAGGAAGGTTTCAAAAATGCTACACTGGATCAAGCAAGATGACAATAGCAGAGAAGAACAGGGGTATAAAGTTAAGTTAGAAGCGCTGAAAGGGAACTTCCAGTGTAACGGAAAAGCAGACAAAGGTTAAGTACAAAGCAGACATGCTGGCAATGTGAAGGTGCCTGGTAAACAGTATGCTTTAAGTAAATAATTGTTGAATGGATCCAGTATTGTCTCTTTTCAACAAAGGTACGTGGTTATTTCCTCCCAGAAGATTAAAATGTCTCCTTTTTTCTACTTCCTTCTCCTCCCACCAACTTAAAACTCTAGGAGATAACTGTGAAACTCTAAGCTTAAGACAGGCAGACAACTTTAGAGTTATGTTGATGGGATTTGTTGATGATTTATATTAAGGTATGAAGGAAAAGATAGCAATTAAGGGGAATTCTTAAGTTTTGGCTTAAGAAAATGGATTGATGGAACCACTTCTTAAAGTGGCAAAGAACAGGGAAGGGACAGATGAGAGAGTGCACAGGGAAATGAGTGGAAATATTACACAATTTATGGGTCTACAGCTCAAGGAAAAAGTCAGAGCTGTTGGTACAAACTCAGATATTACCTTCATATTGATGGTTTTCAGAGCTAAAAGCCTAGATAAGATCAATCTAGGGAAGACTGTGGACAGAAAACAGAAAAGAACCCAGAACTGACAGCTGATTGCTATTCCAAAATTTAGGTATCAAGAAAAAGGAGGCCTGTAAGCAAAATCCAATGAAGTAGGTAGGAAACCAGGCATCAGGGACTCCAAGAGAAGTATTTCAGAAAGAGAAGGGGATCACCACTTTGTGTACAAAGTTACATACCTTCGTCAACATATCACACACGGTTCTTACCTTCCTATCTGCCCTCAAGTCTATGAGTTCCCTAAGGACTGCGATAATGCTCCCTAGGCCTAGCGCAGTGCCTGCTCCACCAAAGAGACTCCGCAAATGTTTTAGCAACAAAACAGATCTGAGTTCTCGTGTTTCTTTTCATCTATGATTTAGGGAAAGATATTTAGTTCCTCTGATAATTAAACTCATTTAACCCTTGTTGGTCACTAACATTCTGATTTTATCATGAAAATATTAAACTAGATGTAGGTTTATTCTCATGGCACATACTGATGTGAATTAAAACATACTAATTTAATTATGTTGCAAGATTAAAAAGTGAATTACATGAAAAGAGTGGGTTCATTTTGAAGAGTTTTGTATTGCTTTGTTTGGTATCTGAAAATCATTTTACATGTAAAATTCACAAAAAGGTATTTAAACCATAAAAATATACAAAGTTTGGGAAAAACAAAAGGTTAAATACCAATTATGTGTCTGGTATTATATCATGCTTTACATATTTTATTCATGTATGTCTCAGACCATCTCAGTTTTACTACATTCATTTTACCAAAAAAAAAAAAAAAAAAATTGAGGTTCAGAAGTTATAAATGGCTTACCCAAGTGCATATGGGAAGGAGTTAAGACTCATGACTCCAAAACTTGTTAGACATACTATACTACACCACCTTCCAAAAACATGAGGGGAAAAAATTAACATCTAATTGACACCAGAATTGATCAAGATTGCTCTTAGTGACCAGAGCAAGATTTGAATCAAAGTTTGTGAGACCAAAGCCCATGCTCTTTTCACTGTAACCAATCAAGAAGAAATTAAATACACTATCCTGGGGGATTTTTCCTCTTTTTTTTTTAAAGGAAAGGAGATAAATTTCCCATCCTTTTCTTGCTAGTGGCTACAGATTAAAATGAAAATAACTGTCTTATAAAATACCATTTTCTCCATAGTTCTGGCAGGGTAAGTTAGTTAAGTGTGACTTGAAAAGCAAGTTTCTTTTTTAAATTAATCACAGATAGTATTTGTTGTAAAGCACATGCTCATGTTTTGTATATTCAACCACGATTTTGTTTTGAACCATGTTCCCTTAGTTTTTCTTAAAAATTTCCATTAAAAATTGTGTGGGTGGGCGCACATCAGCTGAATTAAACGATTTGCCTATCTTCAAGTTCAGAAAGCCAAAGAGATAAGAATTTACAATAGTTAGGAGTAGAGGAGTCAACAGACATCTTAGTTCAAAGTCATAATAGAAAAACAGCTGAAATGTGGTGAGGAAGAATATTTGAGAACATCTGAGAATATTAATTTCTTCCTACCTTACATTTTTCTCATCACAGACTTACTGGACAGGTAGAAGATCACAAAAACAAATTTAAAAAAGTGGAAACTTGAGATAGTTGCTTTCCACAAGTATTACCAAAAGAGATCTTACAAATCAAAGTACATTACTAATCAAAGACATAACAGCAAAGAAGTTTTAAAACAAAGTTTTAAAATAATGAAGAAAAAAAAAGCAGAGTTTTACTAAGAATCTTACAGGATCAAGTGTTCTGAGGGAGTTTGGAGTGACTTCCCTCATGGCTCAGACGGTAAAGCGTCTGCCTAAAATGTGGGAGACCCGGGTTCAATCCCTGGGTCGGGAAGATCCCCTGGAGAAGGAAATGGCAACCCACTCCAGTCCTCTTGCCTGGAAAATCCCATGGACGGAGGAGCCTGGTGGGCTACAGTCCATGGGGTCGCAAAGAGTTGGACACAACTGAGCGACTTCACTTTGGAATGACTAAAAAACACATATGAAGATTCAAACTCCAGCTCCACCACTAGCTAGCTGAGTGAGCCTGGACAAGCCTTACTCTGTGTCCCAGTTTTCCTCATGTCTAAAGTGGAACCCCACAAGACTGTCCCAAGTGGAACCCCACAAGACTGTCCCAAGTGGAACCCCACAAGACTGTCCCAAGTGGAACCCCACAAGACTGTCCCAAGTGGAACCCCACAAGACTGTCCCAAGTGGAACCCCACAAGACTGTCCCAAGTGGAACCCCACAAGACTGTCCCAAGTGGAACCCCACAAGACTGTCCCAAGTGGAACCCCACAAGACTGTCCCAAGTGGAACCTGGACACTTAGTGCCAGGGACAGTGCTCGCAAAGCAACAGCTGACACTGTGAATGAATTTTTTCAGCTGAAACATTGAATCTTGACAATCATATAATAAATGCAAAAAAATAATAAATAAATGCAGCACATCCACACTATTGTACCTTAAGTGGACATATTTTAATTTTGTGAGTGTTGAAGCCAAACTCTACCTAAACCAAGGATTTTGATTAACGGTATCTAAATCCACGCTCTCTGATTTTTAATAAACCAGAAGGCCTGTGGGGCTCTTTTCCATGTAGATTCAAACCTACCTATCTCAAATCCAGAGCCCATACTACTCTTATTTCTACATTTATCACAAGATCCTGTGGGCTCTCTGGGTGTCTCATCTCAGCTGAATGAGTACATATAAACTATTTCATATAAAAAAGCAATCCTAGAATACTCCAGGGTCTGCTGCTGATCTCTCAGTCCTTTTAAAAAGAGTATCTTCCTAGAACTTTTATTTTGAAAGATCAAATGCAGGCATAATAAATTTGGGTATATTCCATGCACCAAATTGTTTTACTGAACTAAAAATAGAAACATTTTTTAGCTTATTTTATAGAAATGGCAATGTAACAACTGGGGGTTCATTTTTTATGCATAACTAACTTGCCTATCAGAAGCCATCTGGAGAATGAAACTTACATACAAGCTCAATAGTAACTGTCAGTCTGATGGGATTTTATCAGGACTGGATAAAGAGAGTTAGCAGCTGGTGACTCAGTGGTAAAGAATCTGCCTGCCAATGCAGGAGACATGGGTTCGATCCCTGAGTTGGGAAGATCCCCTGGAAGAGGAAGAGGCAACCCACTCCAGTATTCTTGCCTGGGAAATCCCATGGACAGAGATGCCTGACGGGCTACAGTCCATGGGGTCACAAAGAGGCAGACACAACTCGGTGACTAAACAAAGAGTTAGACTTCAATATTCCAGTCAAAATCCTTCTGTACAAGAAACACAGTAATTCTGGATTAGTAATTAGATTACTGACCCACATTATTCAGAACTAATCATATTCTGAGTTGTTTTTATAGCCTTAACTCTCAGGATTCTTTGACAAATAAAAATATTTTAAAAATATTAGGCCTGCTTAGGATTTCTTCTTACACCCTTTCATGACCTTTGAAAGAAAATTGTTGTGAACTCAGAAAATAATGAGGCTTTATTTAAAAAGTGGCATAAAACTAAAAATGTAGCTTTTCACATGAAAATAATAATGTCGTAAAAGTAGAGCAAATGTTTACTGTCAGCATTCACAAATATTACACAGGATTACCTCATAAGAACATTTTTAGAGCAAATACTTAACTATTCAGTTTAAGTAAAATTTAACAATACATGTTCTCTTTACTAACAAAGCTCAGTGTCTGTTTCTAGAAGATTCTCTATGGCTACAAAAAGATTTGGAACATTATTTGCTTAATCAAAACCACAGAGGAATGCCTACCAATTTTATTTGAAGACTGCTGTATGTGTAAAACATTTTTTTTTTTTAATATTGCAAACAGACTCTTTCTTTCACAGTTGGAGATGAGGTCAAACCATATAAGCATGGTCAGATTTTAATTTACCTCAGTGGGGGAAAACAGATCATCATACTGAGAGCTCTATCCAAATATATTATTTATTCTTTATGACCACCTAATGAACCCACAAAATTGGTTTCAAGAACTCCACCAAGTAGTCCTATACTACTTATAAAATCTAATTTGATATAATCAAGGCAAGACAAAATTGAGATTACGAGAATGGACCGCTTTTTTCTGAACATTACAATGACCTCTTCTCTCACAGGAAAGGTATTTCTTTGACTTTATGCTAGACCTAAATTCAGAGGAAGTTTCTTAGATTAGCTGTACTATCCTTGCTTCTAGGATGATTGACTTGGCCCAGTTTTCTCAGGTCTTCCCTGGTTTTATCACCGAACACTAAAAAAAATACTAAAATTTCCCTTTAAAATCTTACATAAACAACTTATGCCACAAAACTTTACAGAACTATAATACAGTATGTTTAAAGATGTGATGAAGAGCTCACTTAAAACTATTTTAAAAGGAGGTCAAATCTGACCTCTGGGCCATGAAGCACTGCATTAACAGTTCTGCAGAAAGAAAAATGATAAGCTATGAAATGAGGCTCAGAAACTAGGACCTTATCAGTCAGAGTATGATTCAAGCCTGTAAGACAGATTGCCCAGCAAGGCAAGTCACCTTCCTGCTGTGACGGGGATGCAGCTGAATTTCCAATGCCACTGACTATCTCCCTCATCGTGTCTCCTAGACTTGATATCACACAGGCAAGGAATGGCTGATTCTGAAGCATCTGCTCCTTCTTTTGAATACATTCTGTCAAAGTCAGCAACTAGGATAATTATCTTTGTCCTTTAACTAGAAACGCAGTGCTAAAATAAAAATCTTCAAAATAAAAACTATTGTACAAGGACCCTGCCTTAACAAAGAATGCAGATTCTTATCTCAGGTTTCTAATGAGTAAACCAAGTTTGTTATTTAAATCATTTTAACGGTTTGCTTGGTTCTTAAAAACAAAATCTGTAACGTAAAAATTTAGCAACGCCCACAAACCAGCTCACTTTAAATGTGTACCTGAACACTGATGGACTTCTTCAGCAGTTCTTCTACAAAGTTCCAATTTGATTCCATTTGTCTCTAGAAAGGGAGAAAATGTTGCAGTAAAATTATTGCTCTTAAATACTCCAATTATCAGGAGTTGTTTTATTAAAGTGGTACTTCCATAAAATTATAAATTTTTTAACAAATAGTAAACATTTGCTGTCAATTATTATCTAATAGGAAAAAAAACTTTAAGTATATTTTAGAGTCTTTTACACCACCGAGTGTCTTCTTTATTCTGTACTTTACTCAGTAGAGATTTTTACCTTTGTTTTATGCTAACGGCCTCAAAATGGTCTACTCTAGTAAACAAGTAACTAAACAATTCACATTTGGTACCTCATTTAGCCAGTGGTCACTTACCAGGCAACCTCAACTATCCAGAAGCCTCTACAATAAAGAAAGGAAAAAACAACTCAAAAAGCCAACATATTTCATAAAGGCTAACAATGAGAACAGCTCTACTTTTCCAAAGGGAAAACCTGGAGGAACTTTTCACAGGATGCCTGGTTCACTTGACTCCCAGGTGGATCAGCAGTAAAAAGAACTGCCTGCAGTGCAGAAAACCAGATGTGATCTCCGGGTCGGGAAGATCCCCTGAAGCATGAAACGGCAACCCACTCCAGTATCCTTGCCTGGAGAATCTCATGGACAGAAGCCCGGTAGGCTACAGCCCACGGGGTCACAAAGAGTTGGCCACGACTGAGCACGCATGCTAGTTTACTTGATATTCAGTTCTTAAAGATCTAGATATGTGGATATTGGTCAAAACCAGAAGCCAAGAAAGTGCATTCACAAAGACGCAGATCACAGCTAGTTTCAAACAAGGGCAGAACAAAAGGTGCAAAAGCAAGCCTGAGACCTCAGAAAGCTAAGCCAGAGGGCTTAAAGAATAAACTCAAAGAGATTCCTCACACCCTCCTATCCCTATTACAGCACCCATGCTGTTCATAAGGATGAACTCCAGTGACCAATAAAAAGTTAAAGCATATTCAGATTTTAAGTGGCTGGATAATGCTCATGGTAAGATGGATGCTAACTACAAGAAATCACTGAACAAATATTTCCTTAATAAAGGTGCTTAGTGACTGTGGCAGCCAGCTCTAGAACAGCCCCTAGAGATCTCTGCTTCTTGGAATTCATGCCCTTATTCAATCCCCTCCCACACTGCTGGTCTGTTTAGAAGACTACCAGCACTGAAAGCATGTCAGTCCCAAGATTAAAGGACACGGAAGCTGCTGTCTTAATGACAATCTCTCTTGTTGACTCCTGGGAAAAGTTATGCTAAGAACAGTACCGAAGAGGCTTACATGATGGGTAATTAAGGCCTTCTGTCAAGGTTAGCGAGACGTAAACCCTCCAGCCCCTGAGACTGAGGTGCCAGGGGACAGTTTGATTACAAACTCATGGGATTCTGAGCCAGAACGACCCACCTAGGCTTCTACTGGATGTCAGACCCTCAAGAACTGTGTGAGATATTCATTCTTTTAAGGAGCAAAATTTTGTTACACATCAGTAGATAACTAGTATTGTACAATGATGTAGTTTTCAGAAAGGAATTATAGGTTTTCTCAACTATAACTGTGTAAATAAAGTACATGCAAAATATTTATCAGGAAAAGACATTTAATACAGAATTTGCCCTGGGCCAAGGAGAACTATATGGACATCATCAGATGGTCGATACTGAAATCAGATTGATTACATATTCTTTGCAGGTGAAAACAGAGAAGCTCTATACAGTCAGCAAAAACAAGACCTGGACATAACTATTGTTTAGGTCATGAGCTCCTTAGTGCAAAATCAAGACTTAAACTGAAGAAAGCAGGGAAAACCACCAGACCATTCAAGTAGGACCTAAATCAAATCCTTTAGGATTATACAGTGGAAGTGACAAATAGATTCAAGGGATTAGAACTGATAGAGTGCCTGAAGAACTATGGATGGAGGTTCGTAACAGGAGGGAGCAACCAAAATCATCCCAAACAAAAAGAAATGCAAAGAGGCAAACTGGTTTTCTAAGAGGTTTCACAAATAGCTGAGAAAAGAAGAGAAGCGAAAGGCAAAGGAGAAAAGAAAAGATACAGAGTTCCAAAGAATAGCATGAAAAGATAAGCGCCCTAAGTGAACAATGCAAAGAAATAGAGGAAAGCAACAGAATGGCAAAGACTGGAGATCTCTTCAAGAAAACTGGATACCAAAAGAACATTTCATGCAAAGATGGGTACAACAAAGGACAGAAACAGCAAGGACCTAACAGAAGAGATTAAGAGGAGGAGGCAAGAAAACATAAAAGAACTGTACAAAAAAGGTATTAATGACCCAGATAACCACAAAGGTATAGTCACTCACCTAGAGCCAGACATCCTGGAGTATGAAGTCAAGTGTGCCTTAGGAAGCATTACTACAAAGCTAGTGAGGGTGACTGAATTCCAGCTGAGCTACTTCAAATCCTAAAAGATGATGCTGTTAAAGTACTACACGCAATATGCCAACAAATTTGGAAAACTCAACAATGGCCACAGGACTGGAAAAGGTCAGTTTTCATTCCAAATCCAAAGAAAGCAGTGCCAAATGTTCAAACTACTGTACCGTTGTGCTCATTTCACATACTAGCAAGTTAATGGTCAAAATTCCCCTGCATACCGTCACACATTGATGCTAACAGTTTAGTTTCAAAAAACTAAAATCATGTCACCCACTCCCATCACTTCATGGCAAATAGATGGGGAAACAATGGAAACAGTGACAGACTTTATTTTTTTGGGCTCCAAAATCACCGTGGATAGTAACTGCAGTCACAAAATTAAAAGACATTAGTTCCTTGGAAGAAAAGCTATGGCAAACCTAGCCAGTATATTAAAAACCAGAGACATCACTTTGCAAACAAAGGTTTGTACAGTCAATGCTATGTTTTTTCCAGGAGTCATATACAGATGTGAGAGCTGGATCATAAGAAGGCTGAGTGCCCCCAAGAATTGAAGCTTTCAAATTGTGGTGCTGGAGAAGAATAATGGAGAGTCCCTTGGACAAAGGAGATCAAACCAGTCACTCCTAAAGGAAGCCAACCCTGAATACTCATTGGAAGGACTGATGCTGAAGTTGAAGCTCCAATACTTCGGCCACCTGATGCAAAGAGCTGACTCACTGGAAAACACCCTGATGCCAGGAAAGATTGAGGGCAGGAGGAAAAGGGGGCAACAGAGGATGAAATGGCTGGATGGCATAAATGACTCAATGGACATGAGTTTGAGCAAGTTCTGGGAGTTGGTAATGGACAGGGAAGCCTGGTCTGCTGCAGTCCATGGGGTCACAAAGAGTCGGACACAAGAGCGACTGAACTGAGTCTCCATGTCCAGCCAACTAGGTAACCTGAAGCAATGCTCATTTTAAGGTTGTATTTCACACCTTTATCTAACCATTATTCCAAAAGTTTCAAAGACAAGAACCAACTGGCCAGACTGATTGTACTGATGATCCCTGCAATGTCGCAAAGTAATTATTCTCTTTAAACTATATCTGCTTTTAAAATAGGTGATTAAAATTGTAAGAGGTAACACTCATCAGGAGCAAGGCAAGGATGCCCACTTTTATCACTTTTAAATGGAAGAAATCAACATTGTTAAAATGACTGTACTACCCAAGACAATCAACAGATTACCTATCAAATTACTCATGCAATCCCTACCGAATTACTCATGTCACTGTTTACAGAACAAGAACAAAAAAATTTGTATGGAAACACAAAAGACCCCGAACAGCCAAAACAATCTTGAGAAAAAAGAATGGAACTAGAGAAATCATGCGCCCTGGCTTGATTATATTAGAGACCTATAATAATAATTTTTTAAAAAGTGTGGTACTGGCACAAAAACAAACATAGATCAATGGAATAGGATAAATTTAAAGTCCAGAAATAAACCCCCACACTTTTGGTCACCTAATCTATGACAAAAGAACATACAATGGAGAAAACAGCCTGTTCAACAAGCAGTGCTGGGAAAACTGGGCAGCTGCATGTAAAAGAATTAAATCATAACATTCTCTTAACACCATATACTAAAATAAATTAAAAATGGAACAAAGACCTACATGGAAGATCAGATACCGTAAAATATAAATAAATCACAGCTGACATAAATCACAGCAATGTTTTTTTGGTTCCATCTCCTATAGTAATGGAAACAAAAACAAAAATACACAAATGAGAGCTAAACTTAAAACCTATTGTACAACAAAGTAAGCCATAAACACAATTAAATGACAACTTATAGAATGGGAGAAAATATTTGCAAATGATGTGATTAAAAAGAGATTCATTTCCAAAACATACAAACAACTCACATAGCTCAATATCAAAAAACCAAACATTCAATCAAAAACTGGGCAGATGACCTGTACAGACATTTCTCTAGAGAAGACAGATGGCCAACAGTCACACGAAAAGATGCTGAATATTGCAAATTATCAGAGAAATACAAATCAAAACTATAATCAGGTATCACCTCACATTATCAAAGAGTCTACAAATAATAAATGGTGGAGAAGGTGTCAAGAAGAGGAAATCCTCCTATACTGTTGGTGGGAATGTAAATTGGTACGGTCGCTATGGAGAGCAGTAAGGAATCTTCAGTCTTTAAAAAACTAAAAATAAGAGTTACCATATGATCCAGCAATCCCACTCCTGGGCATATACCCAGAAAAGGCAAAAACTAATTCAAAAAAAATACATGTACCCCAATGTTCATAGTAGCACTATTTACAATAGCCAAGACATGGAAGCAACCCAAAGTCCATCCACAGATGAATGGATAAAGAAGATGTGTGTGTATTCTATCTCTCTCTCTCTCTCTCTCTCTCTCTCTCACACACACACACACACACACACACACACACACACACACACAGAGGAATATTACTCAGCCATAAAAAAGAATGAAATAATGCCATTTCCAACAACATAGATGGACCTAGAGATCACACTAAGTGAAATAAATCAGCGAAAGACAAATATTATATATCACTTACATGTGGAATCTTTAAAAATGATACAAATGAACTTATTTACAAAACAGAAATAGACTCACAGACAAAGAATACAAGCTTATGGTTACCAAAGAAGAAAGGGGGAAGATATAAATTCGGAATACAGGATTAACAGATACACACTACTACAAACACACTACCACATATAAAATAGATAAACAAGGATCTACTATATACCACAGGGAACTCTATATTCAGTATCTTGTAATAACCTATAATGGAATGGAATATGAAAAAGAACACTTTTCTGTATACCTGAAACACTAGAAATCAACTATATTTCTAAAGCATAAAAGCAAAACAGATGCCTGAGGTTGTAAGAAGATAACAATCTAGGTTGGGAGACAAGTATTAAACAGAAATATATGAATATGTAAAGCCTCTAGAATGAAAAGTGAGATACCAAATTTTTCTTATAAGTCAGTACTAAGCAATTGGCAAGTTTGTATTTAAATACACATATAGCTAATGTCTAGTTTACAAAAACTTAAAAAAAAAAAAAATCAACCATATCTGAAACCAACCTAAAATAGAAAGATTTCACATTATACTTCAGGGCAAAGCAGTTTACATTTAAAAACTGAAACATCTTTCTGATTATCACGAGACTGGAGGTAGTTCTCTGCTGCAGAATATACGACTAATCATTGTTGCTTTCTATCATCCTCTCACACCAGGTAATTCTTCAGTGGAATAAAGCATGATCAATGCATAACCATTTTCTATACAGTAGCCGGCTATGCTAATAGATCATAAAGAGAAAAGAAATTCAGGTAATTTTCAAAACTCTGATCTAAGTACATCTCAGACACAAATTAACATCCTACAGAATCTCTGAAACAATGAGTTAATATACCCTTATGATCAAAGATTAAAATAATTATATGATTTATAAACCAAATTGAGAAACTTCTGAGAATAAAAGGGGGAAAACTAACCAGATGGAATGAGGGGGAAGTAGACACAAACTGTGATTGTCCCTGGCAAACTGATACACATGGTCACCTTCCCAGAGACCTATTCCTAAGATGAAGTCCTCAGAAAGTTCCTAAGATCGAATTTATCTAAGCAATAAAAAAATAGGTTGCTATTTTTTCTTAGTAGCAACTATTTTAGTAGCTACAGTTTCTTAGTTGTACACAGTACAACTACTGTGTACCTCAGTCTCTTTACCTGTAAAATGGATATAATACTAATCTCTCGCCTACTTCATTAACACTTCACTGAGATAAAAACCGAATAGTCACTCTGAAATATTAAACACTTTGCAAATGCAAAATGTTGAAGGTATCAACCCTAATGAAAACCATCATTAACTGGAGAGTTTGAGTTTTTCTTTTAAAGCCATTAAGAAATCAAGAAATGTTTGAAACTCTTTGAGGACTCATGAATAAAGGCAGAATCTGTTTGACATATATACAAATATATGACACATCTTTATTATTTTTATTATATAAGAGTAGTTTTTCCCCCAAATACTCTGGCTCTCTTGTGGAGCAAGAAATGGCAACCCATCCCAGTATTCTTGCCTGGAGAATCCCATGGACAGAGGAATCTAGTGGGCTACAGACCACAGAGTCGCAAAGAGCAGGACACGACTGAGCAACTAACACATGGCTCTCTCCTCTAAATCTCTCTACAACTTCTACATAATTTTAAAGATTAAGATTAAAAACATATGCATCTTGACAAAAGCAAATCATACAAGAACTACTGGCAATCTTAAAAGACATACGTTAATCTATACTAAATACAGACAATTCTTTCACTATCTTGATCCAGAGCTAATAAAAGCAATAATGTCCCATGGAGTTCTCTGTATGAAACAGAAAAGTGATTTCAGCAATGGCAACTGAGGGTTGTACCAGTACAATTCAACACTACAATAGTAATAGTAATGATATATATTAATGTGGCTAGATTACCTACCATACTGGGAGTACGTGGGGGTCAATATCAACCAGAACTGCAATGTACTGTTTATTGAAATAAGTGTTAATGGCAGTTCCAGCAAGCATTAATAACTTGAAAGCATATTACTTGAAGAGGCAGCACAATTTATTTCATGAGTATCCTATCATGGGCACCTATTATTATGATAGCCACTCAACAGGAATTCACGAAGTGCTTAACTAATTGCCATATTCATTTACAGTGATTTAAAAATCAGAAATATGTATTTGGAAAAATTAAGGTAAGAGAAAAATGCTTATGAAAAGACCTTTGAATTATAGGTAAATTTTTTGAGTTGTTGTTCTAGTATTTTAAGAACTAAAAGAAGTGAAACATAACCACATTAACTCCATTAAGATACTCAATAAGAGCACTTCTGCAGTAATAATAGCATTTATCATTTTCCACACACCAGTATGGGAAGGACTCACAAGCATAGACAAAGGACTTACGACCTTTCTCCGATAAGCTCATTCTATTGTTCTCTCTCAGAGAGTCAGTAAAATGCTTAAATACACTGATACTGAGCAGTATACGGACCTGTCAGAGCACTTTCTGACTTAACTTACTTTATCTTGGGCTCTCCTAAAGGATCTTTTATTACTAAGGGATCACTTAGAGGTCCTCCTAAGGCCCTTTCCATTTCTACAGCACTGTGTCAATACTAACTGACCCTCAGATTCCATGATTTCTGGGCTCTGTCCAGTATTCCAAAAAGAGAAAAATACGTGAAGTCCATCAAGGAACATGTTTCATAAAGCAGTGGTTTCCATACCTGATAGAAATTCACAGAGCTTTTCAAAAATAAGAATTCCCAAGCTCCAGACCAGATTATAGTACTAAAACAGATCTCCAGATTTTAAAAAATCTGAATTTCTACAAGCTCACAGAGTAGGCCTGTTGATCAGATAGCTTTGTAATCATCCCCAGAAAAAAAGACCAATTTTGAAAATAGACACATTGGTTTCAAGATTCCAGATGCTTACTTTATGGAACTAATGGGTTTATACAATACTAAACGACTTCTGCGGAAAAGGCAATGGCACCCCACTCCAGTACTCTTGCCTGGAAAATCCTATGGATGGAGGAGCCTGGTAGGCTGCAGTCCATGGGGTCGCTAGGAGTCGGACACAACTGAGCGACTTCCCTTTCACTTTTCACTTACATGCATTGGAGAAGGAAATGGCAACCACTCCAGTGATCTTGTCTGGAGAATC